AAAAAAAAAAAAAAAAAAAAAAAAAAAATCTTCCAATAGCAAAGTATGCAACATGACAGCTGGTGCCTATCCTGTGGCCTCCAGAGTGTGTGAGGGAAGGACAGGCCCAAGTACCCCGACCTTCATTTTCACAATAGTGTCCAGACTCGATTGTAGAAGTATGAGTTAAATTGTGTCTCTGCACTTACTAATTCTAGGGTGTCAGACGACGAGTTATTAACAGGTTTCCTCCTCCTAAGTGGGGGTCTATATCCATTTGAAATGCTAAGCACATACAATACATATCTGCTTCAAAAAGGAGACAGAGACACACAACCTGCATGGGGCAGAGCTGTGTGCTCGCCGCCTGCTGCCCTCGATCATTTCCCTCAGCCCGTGGCCACACCACGTGGCCCTTGCCAGTCTTGCTGAATGTTTGGGCATTCCTGAGAGAAAGTCCCTCTGCAGATTCTGTTTGACTTCTTTGGAAGGAATTTTTTCAGGTCTTGCAGTATGTTCTTCAGGCTGGTATCTTCCACTACTGTCTCATGTTTCCTCAAAGCCCTAAGGATGGCTTTCAGCCAGAGGATTTGTTTTAACTGATGATGGACAAAGGAGTAGTTTAGGAAAAGAAGAATGCGCACTCTGAGTACACAGCTTTGTCTCATCACTGCTGTCTCTCCAGCACATGAACCGTGCCTGATAACATAAGATGTGCAGGCTGGGCATGGTAGTACATCCTGTAATACCAGCACTTGGGAGGCTGAGGCAGGAGGATTGCTGCAAGTGAGGCCAGGCTGGGCTATACACATAGTGAGACGCTACCACAAACAACAAAAAACCCATGAGGGTGCTTTATCATGTATACTCAATAATTGAAAAGTCCGGTGCAGTGGTGGTACACACCACTAATTATAGCACTCTGAGAGTCTGAGGCAGGAGGACAGAAAGTTGGAGCTCAGCCTGGGCAGCTTAGTGACTCAGTGACACTCTGTCTCAAAATAAAAAATAAAAACAGGGCTGGGATGGAGCTCAGTGAGAAGGCCCCGGGTTCAGTCTCCGATTCTGGGGAAGGGGGGGAAGGTGTGAAAAGAGCACTGCCATGATCGAATTAGTAGAGAAATAATTTTCAATGTGGTACAAAATAAGTAATATATGTACTAAAATAAGCTGAATTTACAGCTAAGAGGGTGAAATCATTGGAAAAGCAAGGAAAATTTTCATAGCAGTTATGATTTATTATGTTTATTGAGTGCTTACTTCCCTGAACATTTAAAATATACTGGGGCTGATGATGTTTAGTTCAATGTAGAGTGCTTGTCTAGGATGTGCAAGGCCCTGGACTTGATCCTGAGCAGTGCAAAAAAGAAATAAAATATATTTTATAACCCTCACAATTATCCTATAAAGGGGGTACTCTTTAACATTCCCTTCAGGGGTTGAAGGGGAGGGAGGGTAATGGGAAGAAAAGAAGTAGCAAGATTATCATATAAAGATACCATTATATATATCTAAAATGTGCCAATAAAAAATGCAAAAATAAAAATAGCCCATTTTACAGATGGGGAAAATAGGTCACAGAAAACAGAGATTAATAATTTGTACCCAAATCACAGAACTCAGAAGAAATAGAGCCAAACCTCGGTATAACAGTGCACACTTACAATCCCCACCACTGAGGACTGTGGGAGGCTGAGCCAGAAGTTCAAATCCTGCCAGGGCAATTTAGGGAGACCCTGTCTCAAAATAAGAAAATAGAAAGGGCTGAAGATGTAGCTCAGTTCTAGAAAGCCCCTGGATTTGATGCCCAGTACCTCAAAACAAACAAACAGCCAGGAGTCAAGCACTTAACTCCAGAGACCAACTTCTTTACCTGGCCACTGTACTAGCATAGCAATTATTTGTTTGATTTGTTGTTTGTATTGGGGTTGAACCCAGGGACTTTGCATTGAGCTACACCACTACCCCTCTGCTTTTTTATTTTGTGACAGTATCTAAGTCATCAGGTTGTCCAGGCTGGGTTTGTACTTGCAATCTTACTGCCTCCATCTCCCAGTGTGGTGAGATTGCAGGTGTGTGCCACCAAGCCCAGTTTGAGATTAGGTTTCTCCCCATCCACTTAAAAGTAAGAACTAGGACATGCCTTTGTGAAGGTGTGTCTGTTCAGGGAATGCTCATATCTCTTTTTTTTGTTTGTTTGTTTGTTTTTGGTACCGAACTCGGGTCCTTGCGCTTGCAAGGCAGGCCACCGAACCGCTGAGCTAAATCCCCGGCTCTCGTATCTCTTTTTAATTTGCTGTTTTTCTCCCTAAATCTTTGTGTGTGGGGGGGTATTGGAGACTGAAACCATTTATCTTAAGTTTTTTGTGGTCCTGTCTTCCATTATCCACACAGCATGACTTCTAAATCGCTTGAAAATACTGTATGTTCTAGTGCTTCTGAACCCAGTTACCTATTTCTAGGTTCAAACAACTGCTTGGTTACTAGCTGTCTGACCTTGGTAAATGACTTCGCCTCTCTAAGCCTGTTTTTCTCTCTCTTTTTTTGAGACAAGATCTCCATGTGCAGTCCAAGCTGGCCTTAAACTCACTGTGTAGCCCAGGTTGGCCTCAGACTGGCAGCGAACCTCCTGCCTCAGCCTCCTGAGTGCTGGGATTGCAGGAGTGTGCCACCACGCCAGGCCCGAGCATGTTCACTCTTATACCTGGGTTCAAAAGTCAGCTCTGCCGCTTAACGTGTTACTCTGAAAAAGTCATTGTTCCATACCTCATTTTCCTTATCTGTAAAAGCGGGGTAACTACTTGCCTCACACATTTATGCGGAATAAACAAGATAATCCAGTGTCTGTACACCACATTCCCTTCCCCAAAATGTTTTCAGTATTCCCTCAACAAACTGATTCTATGATACTTGGTTCCCGTCCTTAAGAGGCTGGACAACAGGACTGTGACAAGCGCCGCAGGCTCCAGAGCTCAGGCGGGGCTCGCGCCGTGAGCCGGCCCGGGGACCAAGGTGGGCTGTGCACCCAGCCAGACAGGGACCCGAGAGAAGGGCTGCGCTGGCCCTGTACCCCGTCAATTCTCACTGGATTTCGCCAGCTGCCTTTCCTTCTGCTCCGGTGGCTCACCCAAGACAGGACCAAGCAGAGGTGGACGGACACAGGAAGTCTAAGGCCTTCGGCGCCGGAGACAGGCCACGCCCCAATGGAGAGCAAGGCCCAAGCGCCTACAGCTAGTTCTATCGTGAGAGTCCTGGATCCTGTCGCGATGAAACACCGCCCACCACAGAGCACACGGCCGTTCGACAGGCTCCATCTTTAGAACTGAAAGAATGAAAGGTGCCCAAAGGGGAATCCCGGTTTTGGGAGCCTGGGGTACGGCGGCTGCCTGGGGACCAAAACGTCTCTAAGGTAAAGTTGCAGCCTGAAGAGATTTTTTGACCCCCGACACTTAATGGGCTGTCGAAGACCCGGATGTGTCTGGGACTTGCTGAGGTACCCATTAGCGCGCCCCCGCTAGACCATCCCCCTCCTCCGTTTAGGACTGGGTCTTCAATGCGCCAATCGTCACTTCTCCTACCACTCACTGCTCAGGGGCGGGGCGAAGCAGCCGCATTCCGGTTTCTACTTGTAGGTCCGTGAAGAGGAGGGCGGGGTAGCCGGCTCAGGTCGCCCAATGGGCGTCGTGGCGTGTGAGTAAGGCGGAGCTGAGGCGCTTGGCAGCTGCCCAATCAGCGTCCTTGTTTGTGTGGTGCCGCCGCCGCCGGTGCAGC